TGCTGTATTAAAAAATTTTTCTTTCTTTGTATTGTCATCATTCTTTAAGCTTTCTCTATTTTTTTACTTTTATTTTTTGGTGCTGGTGGTAGTGCTCAAGGCTTTTTGCAACCTAAGTAATCACTCTCTTACTGAGCTGTATTCCTAAATTTATTATTGTTATTTTACTTTTAAAAATTGTTGTTAAAAATCTAAGACACACAGGGCTAGAGAGATGGCTCTTAACTAAGAACACTGGCTGTTCTGGGAGGGACCCTGGTTCAGTTCTCAACACCCACATGGCAGCTAACAACCATCTGTAACTCCAGTCCCAGGTGATCTGACACCCTCTTCTGACCTCTTTGGGCATTGCATGGCATGGGTGCACTTACATACATGCAGATAATACACTCATATACATAAAATAAAATAAAATAAATATTTAAAAATTTAAGAAAATCTAAGACACACACTTCCATGTTGGCCTAGGGTCAGCAGTATCACTGTTGGCCATCTCCATATCTTGTTCTAGCAGAAGGTCTTCAAGGAGCTGTCATGTCCTATGAAAGCAATGCTTTCTAAAGGACCTGGCTGAGGCTTTTTACACTTAACATTTTTTGTAGAAAGTAGAATTACACTCTAACATACCAATAAAAATAGTAAGCACATGAGCCAGTAGCATCATCATTTATTATTACCACCAAGCTTTGTGTATTCCATGTAACTGTATTTTTATAGAACCAGGCACTGATGGAAGTGCCATTATATATACATACTATATGTCTCCTATATACTTTCTTCCTTTTTTTTTTTTGAGACAGGGTCTCCCTGTAGCCCAGGTGTTCTGAAATTTGCTATGTAGACCAGGCTCTGCCTCCCAAGTACTGTGATTAGAGGCGTGCGCCACCATGCCTGGCTCCTATACACTATCTTAATGAATGATAAAGTGGGCATCTTATATTGCTCCTAACAAATGTAACTATATACAATAAATGATGCTAATACATGTGGTTAGGATTATGAAAAATGATTAAATATTAACTGACAGTGCACACAACACAGCATGGATATACATTGCTATCAGGGAAAAAAAGCAACTGATAGGACAAAACTAAAGGAAAAGAAGTTTAGCTAACTATTACCTGATAAATTCTTTCTTCCCTTTCTTACCTTTCTTTCTTTCTTTCTTTCTTTCTTTCTTTCTTTCTTTCTTTCTTTCTTTCTCTCTCTCTCTCTCTCTCTCTCTCTCTTTCCTCCCTCCCTCCCTCCCTCCCTCCCTCTCTCCCTCCTCCTTCCCTTCCTTTCTTTAGATGTGTGTGCACATTTTGAGACAAGACAGGGTCTCATTGTGAGGTCCTGGCTGGCCTGAACTCACTATGTATCCAAGGTTGACCTCAAACTTGCAGTGACTCTCTTCTTTCTTCCTCCTAAGTGTTTGCACTACAGGCGTGCACCACCATTCCTAGCTACTACATGATGGATTTTCTAATTGAAAGTAATGAAGGAATGTATTAAAGTAAAGATTAGAATGTATTTATACACACAAAAATTCAAAACTTGGGGCTTTGAGAGATCGTTCAGTGGTTAAGACCACTGGCTGCTCTTGCAGAGTTCAGTTCCCAGCACCCACATGGTGGCTAACAGCCATCTGTAACTCCAGTTCCAGGGGATCTGATGCCCTATTCTGGCCTCCATGGGCATTGTATGCCTGGGTGGACTTATATGTAGGCAAAACACTTATACACATAAAAATAAATAAATAAATAAAAATTTGTAAGAAATTCAGAATTTATTTAGGTAACATTTTTAGTATTCAGATGTTTTGAAACTGAGGGAAATATTTGCAATGAACAAAAAACATAGGGTTGGACCAATGAGATGGCTCAGTGAGTAAAGGTGCTTGCTGCCAAGCCTGATCCCTGGAACCCACATGGTGGAAAGAGAGAAATGATTCCTATAAGTTGTTCTCCTTCATAGATGTGGTGCTTGAACGTGTGTGCATGAGCACATGTGCACACACATAAATAAATGTAAAAAACAAAAATGTAAAAAACAAAATCAACACAGAGCCAGCATATTTACTATTTATAGAATCATACAACCAATTAGAAATACAGAAAGGCTTTGATAGATAAATTTGCAAAGGATGAAAACATTCACATTTGATGAAATATGAATTACTATTTTTTTGCCTTCAAAAATAATTTTATTTGGTAATACATATCATCAGCTTGTTTGTTTTTTGAAACGGTCTCACATATTCCAGGCTGGCCTCAAATAACTTATGGAAATTTGTTTTTCATTATAAATCACAGAAATATTAATGGAAACATAGTATTGTTTAAACTATTAAATTGGTTAAAAACATTTAAAAGCTAATGCTCATCAGAGACTATATATATATATAGTAACTCCAGTTCCAGGGACATCAAGCTTATCTCACAGCTATTGTGCACATTAAAGGAAATAATGCATGTGATGCATTAGCAGGGTGCCTGGCTCACATTGATGACTCAATACATGTCATAAATTATTAATGTGCTTGTGAGGGTAGAAGGACAGAAACTCCTGCTTTCAGTAATATAAACTCACAAAACTTTTCTGGAAAGCAACTCTGCAATGGGAGTTTTTCTGCAATCTATCCTAAAGAGTTCATCTCAAATATAAACAATGGCTATGAACAAAGATATTCATTGTACCTCTGTGTATGTTTGTGAAACTGGAAACAGTCTAATACCCATCACTGGTTGGGTAAATGATGCCCATTAAGAACTAATGTGCAACAGGCCAGGTGTGGTGGCATACACCTTTAATCCCAGCACTCAGGAGGCAGAGGCAGGATGATCTCCACAAGACTGAGGCTAGCCTGGTTTACATAGAGAGTTCCAAACCAGCTGGGGCTACAGGGAGACCCTGTCACAAAAAGACAAAAACAAAACAAAACAAAACACCACCAACAACTAATGTGCAGGCATTAAAATGCTTATCAAGTCATGTGGGTTTTTTGTTGTTTGTTTATTTATTTATTTATTTATTTATTTATTTATTTATTTATTTACTGTGTAGACTAGACTGCCCTCGATCTTACAGAGATCTGCCTGCTTCTGCCTCCCGAGTGCTGGGATTAAAGGCATGCCTCACTGTACTCTGCTCTCAAGCAGACATTTTGATAGCATATAAAAGTACTTATAATTCTATGTTAAGAAAAAAAGAGTCCATTAAAATCCATTCATGTTTATACTGTGGTCTCATCTCCGATCAGGAAACAGCACACAGAATACTATAGAAGAAAAGCTGCTGAAATACTCATTGTGGTTTCCTAGATCAGGACTCCAACATGGTCTGAAACTAATGTAGAAGTCATGGGACCATGGTGGTGAGGATGAACTAGAACAAGATGTGGAGGACAGAATATGAAATGATAATGGAATGGGATGGAGAAGAACAGAACAGGATGAAAACAGCAGTGTGTGTGATCTCTAAGAGAAGTATTGTTTCCTAAAACTTTTTTTTCCATTCAGTATTATATCTGTATTTATGTACAGGGTGGTGATTTAAATACATAAAACATATATATTTTGAGATAGGTTCTCTGTAGTCCAGACTGGACTTGAATGCATGATTTTCCTGCTTCAGTCTCCCAAGTTTTGGGATTCCAGACATGTGCCACAAAGCCTGGCTAAATGCCTTCCCTCCCTCCTTCTGTTCCTTTACCCTTCCTTCCACTTTCCCTTCCTTCTTTCCTGCCTTCCTTCTTGTGCTAAGGACTGAAGCCAGGACCTCACACAATGCCAGGCAAGCACTTAACCACATGTCTACATTCTCAGTTCAGTACATTAATGTTGGTGATGGCTGAAAATTCAAATTTTAAGTAAAATCAGGGTTGACATTTTGTGTGTACATGTGTTTATTCTCCTATAACTTGTACATTTCTTTTCATACACACACTGGACATTGTCATACAAATTTGAACATTCTCTTTGCCACTAGCATGTAACATGCCAAAAGCAATTTTTACATTAATTTCCCAACCTTTGTCCTTTATGCAGAAGGGGTCTGCATCTAGAACATAGGAAAGACAGAAGCAGTGGGCAGGAATTGCATGGTGTGTGTATAACTACATCAACATAATGCTTTCTGCCCTTCCCTTGTTTTCCACTAATCGGAACATCAGCCAGAAATTAATTCCATGACTTTTTCACATGTTCTTAAAGAATAATGATTATCAATCACCAGTTTTGTCTTTTGCCTCAGGAGGCTGGGACTGATAGCTCTTATTCTCTAGATGTTAGGTAAAATGCTGACACTGGTTTCTGCTCATGTTTCTGGCTAGTTCTGCATGGCTGTGAATAAGTGCTTTGGAATCTGCAGCTACTGTGAAGAACCAGGCCATACACCTGAAGGCTGTGGTTATGGAGTGGCTGCTGTTCTAACAGCTTTATTGAGCTGTGATTCACATAGGACACAAATCACTGATTTTCACAGCCAGTAGTTTTGAGTGTATTTCTAGAATTATACAACCATCAATTTTAATCATTTTCACTTCTCTAAAAGGAAGCCGCATATCCCACAGTATCACCCTTCCACCTCTTTAGCCTGTAGAAAAACACAAATTCAATTCTAGCTCTATAAATTTGCCTGTTATAGACATGTCATATAAATGGACTCATATAATAGGACAATAGGCTATTCCTCTGTTCCTTCTTTCTTTTTTTTTTTTTTAAATTAGGGTCTCATACATCTATCAGACTGGTCTTGAACTTGCTATATAGCTGAGGATGACCTTGAACTTTTGATCCTCCTATCTGTATCTCCAAAGTGCTAAGATTATAGTCATGTACCACCATCCTTGGTTCATGTGGTGCTGGGAATCAAACTCAGGGCTTTGTGCATGCTAGGCAAGCATTCTACCAACTGAGCTACATCCCCAACTCCCAGGCTGTTGTTCTTAATCTAATAATTTATGGGAGACTCAAATATTTTCCAGTCCTAAATAGATGATTGATTCAAATACAACTCACATTTGTTGGTATACCCAGCCTCCGACCAACCAGCAGTGGATGAAAATTGTTGTATGTCAGTTCTCTGCCGTCCGTCCATTTGTTTACCCTTTCATAAGCAGTCCAGCGAAGACCAATCCATAAACTAGCTTCCATTTCCGGAAGCAAGGAGGTAATAAAATCTATTAAAAAGAAATATTTACATAAGTATTTAGCACCAGAGAGATGACTTGGTAAGGGAGTTTGCTGCCAAGACTGACAACCCCAGTTCCATCCCCAGAACCCACATCTTGGAAGAAAAGAACTGATTCCTGCAAATTGTCCTCTGACCTCTACATGTGCACATACACAAACACACACAAATAAATAAATAAATTTTAAAAAGTTTAGAAATTAAAAGTTGGCTTCTTGTGGTTATCCATCAGGATAGCCTTCAACTCTGTGAAAAAGTAGTTTAAGGAGATGGTTTCGTTAATTCCCCACAGCCTCCCAAATCTAACTTGGCTTCCAGATTAGAACAAAGTGTTTCCCAGCTACAGAGCACTTGCCCAGCTGGGTTGAGGTCTTGAGTTAGATCCTTAGCATTACAACAAACAAACAATAAACAAACAAAACAGGTTTTCCCCCCGAATTCTAGTACCTTGTTCACTCTGGCTCAGCACTGAAGGGAGGGTGCCACCATAGGAATGACAAATGCTGCTTGCTTCAGAAAATGTAACTGGCTTGGAGTTGATCTTTAAAAAGCACTGTAAACAAAGACACACATGGAGCCTAAGATTCCAGACACATAAGGAAATTATCCAAACTTCTCAAATATGAGAAGGAAATGCCTCATCTTTTAGAAGGCTGCTAATTTCATCTGTGAAATATGGACAGTTACAAAGTAGTATCACAAGATTGCAAATCCATACTTCAATATAAACAACTACGGAATGGATTTTAAAACTTCTCATTTACTGGGTATTTCTTATATTCTAAAAAATTCTCATTTATTGAGTGTTTTTATATACTAAGCAATTTTTGTGTTATTATCTCATTTAATTCTCAAAACAAATGAGAAAACTAGAAATAAGAGAGTTAAGTAACTTGACCCTTAGTAGAAATAACCAACCACAAAACAGCAAGGTCACATTCTGACTCTATTCTATTTGACGTCAAAATCTGGGCCCTTAATCATCACTTTATAATATCAAATACATTTTGAGAGAAAATGTTTCTTTTTCTCTTGGCAAGACATTTTAATAGCATAATCTCAGTACCTTGGGGAATTAGAAAGATTATCCTAATTTTTTAAAATCAAAATGTGGCTGGAAATATAGTTCAGTGCTAGAGCTACAATGCCTAGTGTATGTGAGGCCCTGGGTTCAATTTCCACCACACTGAATCATTCCATATTTTTTCAGCCTTCTTGAAGACTGGATGAGTCAATGAAGTACAGGCAGAGTCACCGGGTAGTTTTTAGAAAGGATCCCAGAAGAACCACACTGAACTCCAGCAGACAAACCTTACATAAAACAAAGAAGCCTGCTGCTGAAGACTGTGGAGTTTCACACCAGCCTGGCCTGCTCACCTTTAGAATTCTTTTAAGTGAGAGAGTAATAAACATCATATACTAATATAACAAATGTTAATATAAATATCAGCATTCTGTGATAATTTTTTTCGGGCAGCCCAATGCATCTCATGTCATTTACATATTACCAGAGTGGATTATGCATCTCAAAGAGGAAGGCACAGAATGGAGCACTTCTAATACCCATTTCATCATAACTCCCACATGGAGCCAAATGAATGATAAATATTCAGTAGTAGATGTATAGTCTCTGTAGAGCAGTTTGGGAAAAGCTGACCTAACTTCCTTGGCAGATGCTGCTTGAATTTTCTCCTTTTGGGGACAAGAAAACAGTAGCTTTAAATGGAGTCAGTTTCCAAGTGCCATGGAGCTAGTTGTGGTCAGTGGATTGTTAGCCACTGGCAGATTGACTTCAGTAACTTTGGTGTTGGGAACAATAGAATGAAAAGACCTGCAGGTATGACCAACTTTAGAGCTGGCTTTGGATAACCCCTGTGCTTCTGACAACAGAGACTCAAGAGGGACACTGACATGTGTGAGGTCATCACGGAGAAGTATCTGATGGGATGCCTTTCTACCATAGGCCACTCTGCCAGCATAAAGACGTTGTTCACATGGTGCAGCAATTCTCTTTTTACCTTATTCTGAAAAGGAATCCATTCCCCAGAACACTGTACTTTAGCTGCAGAATCTGGACTATATTTCTCTAATGAAGATACATTATATTTTTCACAGATGAAGGGCAACTTGGCATTACAGTCTGCTCGTTTACTTAAGTCTGAAAAAGAATCAGAATTGCAATGATGAAAATGTATCATTCAGTACATTAAAGAAACAAAAAAAACCCAAAACAACCTACTAGTAAAAAAAGCTTATTGTACTGTTTTTGGTGCTAGGGATTGAATGATCAGCAGTCTGGGTCTACCCTTGGCCCCAGGAAAGGATCGTTAAATCATTCTTTCCCAATATATCCTCTTCCTTCACTAGTCATTTCTGTCCACTACTGTTTTTCTTATCAGTAGCTTATACTACACCAATATCGCCTGTAAAAAAGCATGTTTGTTATAACTACACTATCTGAAGAATGATACCAACACATAGGAACATAGTTCATAGTGAAGTCTAGTGAGGGGATACAGACCTGCTGCATATTTGATTTGTCAATTTATCTAGATGCCTATCAATTATGAAAGTGGTAAGTTTAGTTTGAATTCATTGCTTTAACATAAAGGAAGTAAAATATTCACATTGGAAAGAGCTTTTATTTGCATTTGGAATTTGAGCTATTGTTATTAACAGTAAGTTGAGATGCAACTACCAAACACACACTCAAAAAGCAAACAAGATTAAGGCGGTAACTGAATCTGAAGTTCACATATTATTACATGACCAGTATCAGAGAGTTGGAATTAATGTTACCAATAAGCCATGTTTTGGCAGACATGTGCAAGCATTCATCTCCAAATGTCATGGGAAAGTGGTGCCATGGATGTCGTGAGCTGAAAGAAAGTTAAGAGATGTGACAACTCACAGTGTAATTACATGTCCCATTCCATTTTTTACCATGTTATTTTAATTCCCAATTTAATGTAAATGACATTATTTTGCCTTTTTTTTTTTTTTTTTAGGGTCTCCCTGTAGTGCCAGCTGGCCTGGAACTTGCTATATAGACAGAGATCCACTTGCTTCTGCCTCCCAAGTGCTGAGATTTTTTTAAAGGCATGTACCACCACCTGACCACTTTTCTTTTCTTGATACTAACATACCAAAGGAACTTGGTTTGTTAAATGTAGGCAATTTATGGATTAATGTTTAAAACTGCATAGAAACTGCAATCTGGGGCTGGAGAGCTGTCTTAGCAGTTAAGAGCACTGGCTGCTCTTGCAGAGGACCTGGGTTCAGTTCCCAGCACCATAGCAGCTAACAACTGTCCATTAACTCCAGTTCCAGGGGATCCAATGCCCTTTACTGACCTCCATGGGCTTTGCATGCTATGGGTGCATTTACATGCAGGCAATATACTCATATACATAAAATAATAAATAAAATACTAAAAAATAATCTACTTGGTCAGGGGAATTAGGGACTGCTTCTTTTTTGATAAATTTATGAAGAGGAGTCAGCATTAAAGACATTACATACCGCATAAAATAATGATCAACTGGATTCTCATTAGTTTTTATCCACCACTTCTGTTCTTCACCAGAGATCTGAAAAACAAAACAAATGCTCATCCTGACATGCTTGATTGTCTGCAAGAGTTTTACATAAACCTTCCACTTTGTTAAAACCACAAATCATGACAATTTCCAACTATTCAACGATTTTTTTTTTTTTTTTTTTGGTCTTTTTGAGACAGGGTCTCCTTGTAGCCCCAGCGGTCCTGGAATTCACTATGTAGACCAGGCTGGCCTTGAACTCCCAGAGATTCACCTGCCTCTGCCTCCCAAGTGCTGGGATTAAAGGTGTGCGTGACCACGCCCAGCCCTATTTTAAAAAATTATATAGAGGATCAAAAATTACTTTCACCAAAAAGTAATTTCAAACGTTCTGCTTTGCATATTCACAGGCTCTATTTTAATTACAGAAAATGACTGCTATAATTATAGTCATACATATTTAGACTAATACATTAATTGGGCATTCATTGTCTTATTATGGTTAATTACAAATTTTTTAATGATACTATTTTTCTCTCCTAGAACTATTTTGTCAATTTATTTATTATAGAAACAGAAAGCTAAGTATAAAGTTAAGTTTTAGAAATAAATAATAAGGATTATTTACATTCTCTACTGAGGCTAATCTCCTAAATTGATATTTACTATTAATATATATTTTAAAACATTAAGCAAGTCTATTTAAACTTTATAGCATTAAACAACGATTGTTGGATGGTATGAGGCAAATCGTATTTTATAGGAGCATTTACCTCCCCACCCCCTGTTGGATAGAGTCTTGCTATATGTGTAGTTTAGGCTGGCCTGGCCTCAAACTTGCAATTTTCCTGTCTCAGCCTTCCAAGTGCCAGATTTTAGGCATGTATGACTATGCTTTAGATAAGATTTAGCTTTTGCAGATTTTAGAACTATTTTAGCAGAATAGATATAAAAAGAAAAAATTTAAATCCATTTGTTTAAATTACATTTGCTATTTTGTTTTTGATGGCTCTTAGTCCTGTAAAAGATGTTATTGTAGCAAGAAAGCTGTGATTGCTAGCACAGTATAGGACGGCTTCTTCGTAGTTTAAGTGAGGATCAGCAACAAACCAATATTCACTTCCTTCAATTATAACTGGAGGCCCATGAATTCCAGCACGCTCTAAAGAAGAAGATCAGAGTTAGGACTATGACAAACTATACGCTTTAAGCATGGGGTATGTCCCAAAATTTTCATAAATGCTGTAGACTACCAGCTGAAATTCCAAAATTGTGAGCCAAAATAAGCCTTTTCTCTTCTTAAGTTGATTATCTAAGTCAGTTTAACATAGTAACCCATTGAGATCCATGGTTCTCTGGTCTGGAGAAGTGCTGACTACAAGGAACTGGTGATTTCGGGACCAGCAACTTCATTTTCCTACGCTCACAGAGAAGGAAAACCCAGCTCTGTCACCTCATTCCGAATTGTCCACCCACCTCTGCTGCCTGGGGAAATTCCACTTGATGTGGAAGAGAAGAAATGGCACTTACTACATACATTATCAAAAAAGATCAAAGCAGCTTTAGCTAAGGTTTGGTTTACTCAACTTACCTGGATTGTACCACTCGGGGATTTTGGGGGTGCTGCCTGTATAAGAAAGGAAGAAAGAGTTTATGGTTAGTATTGGATTACAAATCAAGGCATCTTGTATGTGGAGCCACTAAGACAATATACAGTATTGTGGAGACTTGTTTGTTTCTTACCAAATCATTTAATGTCAAGTTAGGATCATCTGAGTTAAATTTTGCAGGGTTTATGCTAAAGATGTCTTAGTGCAATCTTTTAAAAAGAAAGATCTATTGTATATTAATAAAATATTGCCAGTAGTCCAGGGCTGGAGATGTACTTCAGTGGTAAAGCACTTGCTTAGCATGTTCAAGATCATGGGTTCAATCCCCATTAGAAGAAAAGAAAGATGAAAGAGAGAGAGACAGAAAGAAAGAACAAAAGAAAGAAAGAAAAAAATTACTAGAAGTCTTTTACTTTGTGTTAAGGAAGTCACAAAGGAAGACTAGATGGGTAAAATAAGGCTAACAATTAAAAAGTAGAAGTAGTGAATGGTGACTTTGTACCATTACACACAAGCACCAAGGGATATGCAGCAAGGATCAGCACCACAGGATGAAGTTACTCAGAAAGCACTTCTCCATCAAATGGAATCTGCCGATCTCATCTGTAAATGTGGGGCAGTAGATTTTATTGACTCCTGAAATAGTGTTCGAAAAAAGTACAGTGGTGTAATTTTGAATCTTCTGAGAAGGTGAAACAAAACTGGGAGGAAATAAGAAAAGTCACTCAGGATCCCTAAAGGGAAACAGGAAATACGGTATGCTCCATAGAATTATGGGGCTTGGAAGTTGGGCGTCCAAACGCCTGCACGCGTTTGCCGCTGCCGTGCTCTGATGAAATGCTTGACTCCCTGAGTCTCAACTTTCTACCCTGTGAAAGGTCACACGAACATCCCTGAGGGGTCCCTGGATAGTTCCAGGCACACAACTGTCCTCATAGGATTCCCTGGCTTCCCATCTGCAGATCACACTAGCGTCAAGTAAAAATATAGTGTTAGAAATTACAAGATAAAATAGCTGTTTGTAATTTCATGTGACCTTGGGCCCTGAAGCATCAGTAGCCCCTCCTCAGAGTACTGCTTACACATCAGGTGTCTGTAGTTTTTCTCTTTGAGCCAGCTTTCTTCCTATTGAGTAATTTCTATCAATAGTGCTGCAAGGAAGTTAAAATATATCTAGTTTCCTGGGTGTAATCTTGGCAGACTTCTGATCTTTGTGTGTTGGGGAAGCTATGTTTGATTTTCAAATATTTCTATATGAGTAACAAAGACAGAACACAAGCGTTTTCATAAAAGATTATAAACATATACATATGTTTAAGATATCAAAAAATATAATAAAAAATAGCTTTGTTTGGGTGGAGGCATTAGAGATAATTTCCTTAAGAACATTTTATGAGTCTTATTTTTGACAGTTTTCTCAGTTAAAAAAGAATGTTAAAATTATTACCTAGCTGGGCATGGTGGCACATGCCTGTGGTCCCAGCACTTGGGAGGCAGAGGCAGGCAGATCTCTGTGACTTCAAGGCCAGCCTAATCAACACAGTGAGTTCCAGGCCACCTGGGGCTACAGGGAGACCCTGTTTCAAAGAGACCAAAAAACCCAAAAAAAACAAAAAAAACAAAAAACAAAACAAAACACCAACCAACCAACCAAAAAAACCAAACAACAAATACAAAATCAAACAAAAAATACAAAAAAACCCCCTATTATCTATCCATAGAGATTATGGCTACTTGAAATTCACAAGCTGTCAAAATATTCCTTTAAAGAAAAGACTAATTAGAACAGGGAAAGAAAAAGAAAAGAGTGAAAAGGCTTCACTGGTGACCCTGGTTACTGAGATTTTTGTTATTTTTCTTTTATGTGTATGAGTGTATTGCCTGCATGTATAGAAGTGCACCCATGTTGTACAATGCCCACGGAGGACAGAAGAGGGTGTTGGACCCCCTGGAACTGGAATTACAGACAGCTGCTAGCCACCATGTGGGTGCTGGGAATCCAACCTGGGTCCTCTGCAAGTGCAGCCAGTGCTCTTAACCTCTGAATCATTTCTCCAGTCCCCATTACCGAGATTTCTATAAGAAAACTAACTAAACTTGACAGTGATACAAGCTGAGCAGACTTTGGCTGCTCTAATAACCAAGAAAAACATTTGGTTAGGTGAATGTAATGCATTGGAAGGGGAACCTTTAAAGTCCACCCTGCATTTGTTAATCGTGGAACGCTTCAAAAGATCGGGGAATTCTTTCAAATGATCAGGTTTTTGTCTTTTCATTTCCCCTCCCCTTCCCTCAAATACTCCATCCTTCCTCTATTTCTCCCAGACATTTTGGTTTCTACATGGTGAAAGATTTATTTGGTTAACTGGTTTAGATTTGTTAGGTCAGTTAATTCACTTCATATTCTCTCGTCTCTGTCTCTCTTCTCTTTCTCATACTATTTCCCATGTTATTGGTTTGTCATTACTGAGGTTGCCCTTGTTAAATCAGGAATTATTTCCCAACATTCTTTTTTTTTAAAAAAAATTATATCTTACTTTAAATTATGTGTATGCATGTGTGTCTGTGTGTAGGTATGTGTACATGAGTGTAGGTGCCTACAGATGCCCAAGGTGTTGGATCCTCTGGAGCTGGAATTACAGGTGGTTGTAGCTGGTTAATAAAAAATCAGGAATCACAATGTGTAATATCTCCTTAGGAAAACCCTGCCAACATACACAGACACAGACACACACAGACACAGACACACACACACAGACACATACACACACAGAGACACACACATACATACAGACACACTCTTTGATGAGAGATATGACAATTGTGCTTGATGTTACAGCTGAAGCTTTTCAAAATCAACATGGTAGCCCTTTTTTAGGGTAAGACACAATATTCAAATGGGCAATTCAATGATGCAAACTTGTTTAAATTTTTGTGTGTGAATTTATAAAAGAATATACTTTTAGTTTCAATGTTCTATTTATATTAAGTCCAGAAATTCATTTTAGAACTTCCTGTGTGTTTTAACTAATTAATCCATTCAATGTCTGCTTAATATGAATTTGGGAGGTGAAATATTAATGTTTTTCTTAATTATTTCCTTGGCATTTTCTTACTAAAAAGTTGGATGAAAGGATACTTAAATCTCCCGCCACCCCTGCCCTCTCTCTTTTTTCCTCCTACTCACCTCTTTATTTCCCGTGGTCTCAGGAATCAAACCCAGAGTCTTGTCCATGCTAGGCAAGCCTTCTAGCACTAAATTACATTCAAAGCCCTTGATCTTTTCAGACAGGTTCTTGCTCTGCAGCACAGGCTGACCTCCAAGCTGCAATCCTGTCTCAGCGGCTGAGAACAGGAACTACAGGTAGGTGTGTGCTGCCAGGCCTCGCCTGCTCTTTTTTTTTTTGGTCATTGCAGGCTGGTTGTACTGTCATTCTAACTCATTTCTTTTCTCTTCTCTCTCTTTTTGTTTTTTACAGTTTTAATTTTTTTTCCATTTCTAACTCGTTTCTTGACTTTGAATTTGCATAATGATAGAATGCCTCTGTTGCAGAAAACCAGCAGTCCTCTGAAACTGTTGCTGATTTTAGCTGCCTCTGGGCAAGCTACTAAACCTTATCGATAAATTACTTTGGGGCTGGCCACTCCTGAAACTCAGTGTTGGAGACAGGCTCTTGCTCAAGACAGCCTGTCCTTTGAGCAAGGGGCTCCAGAAAATAAGACACGTAGACCCCTGCAGCTGCATCTGCTTCCTGTGCCCTAGCTCCTATGTGATCTCTAACTTCTGATACCCAGTACAGTTGCTTCCATCATGCAGGAAGGCTGCTGTCACTCGCTGTGCTTGAATAAACGCAGTCTCATCTGAGGTCAGGTGTGGTCTCTTTCTCTCTTATTGTTCCTGTATTCTGCGCTACAAAACTTAACACATAAAGTATTAGCAGTTTGGACTTCACTGAAAATCCTGTTAAATTGTACAAGGACCTGACAAATTTTGATTTCTTGATTATCCCTAGAATCATCTTCATTATGCAGTCCATACTGCATCACATAAAAGAGTGAACCTTTCTACGGCACCTTTCCTTCCAGTAAAATAATCTTTCATCCCCAAATCTGATCTCTTGAAGCAAGTTTTATATTTTATTTTTTATACAAATTCTTCCATGATCAAAGAATTGTTTGAATTGTTTGAATTCAATTACTGAAACAAGTTTTAATAAGCTAGACTTCTACCAGAAATGGAAGTCAGGCAGCAGGGGTACGTAACTTCTGACAAATCCATTTGCAGAGGAAGCCGCTCTTAGGCGCTTCTAGCTCAGCACTCACAAGGTTAAATGGAGGAGGTGTCAAAAGGGACCAACCAGCACTTACCTTTAGGAATCTGGCACACCCATTCAAGTTTTGCATCACAAGCAAAAGGCCTCAAATTAACAAATTCTCTGTCATCATGGAAATACCAGCTCCTTCGCCATGGCCTGTCAATTACCTAAAGGAGGAAGCAGAATGAAGAGTATTCTGAAACTGCTGTAGCTCTTTGGAAGCACCATAAACTATGGTCCTCAGCTCTGCTTTAGCTCTGGCACCCAAGATATTTGTAAAAATAAGCAGATGAGAAATGAAATGTCTAAACAGTAACTGCTGGAGCAAGAGTTTCCCAAAGGCAGGGACAAAGGAAACATAAAGTTGTGTTTATGTCCCAAATGCTAATGATGATTGGCCTTTTTCTCTCTTTTTGTTGACATGAAACTTTAGACTCTTGCACATTTTTCCATTTTAAAAAATTACAATAAAATTTTCCCTTGTATATATTCATTCTGTATGGTACTGTGTTACAGAAGGACATTTCAGGCAAGTATACAATATACGTTGAGCATCTTGCACTTTTAAAATTTGGGAAAGACCAAAAAGTAGAAAAGATTTCTTATTTTGATGTTATCCAAGCCAGACTGAGATCAGAGCTGATCAGAAAGCATCATAAATGCCTGGGTCCAGCAGCCCAGGTCCTTTGGTACTTCTCAGTCACTTTGAGGATGTGACCCATCTGCACATGGTCCAGAACAGGGAAGGAAAGGGAAGGCATGACCTGGGAGGGCCTCCATCACTTTTAGGTTCTTTTCTCTTAGGGCCAAATTTGTGGGTATTGTGATGGGAGAGGCTTTGTACTGCAGGGCATGGCCCTGGCTGTGCTTTTCCCTGATGCTGGCTCTATCAACATCCCTTCTATTGTTTTTCAAATCTCTTCATACATGGAGTTCTATGTGTTAGGGTTCAGATCTACAGCAGCCCCCACCCCAACAGGGCCTCATGGTTTTGCAAGTACCTGAGAATGCAGGAACTGACTTAATAAGCACCCTGGTCTTTGAAGACAAGATAAGCAGACTCTCTGAACCTTTTGGTCAAAGACAGCCTGTGTCTCCTTTGATGATCTTGGAAGCAGAACAGGCTCCTGCACTCCGGATCTATTTCCCCTGATAAGTTTTACAATGTAGAGACTCCTTACCCTATAACCCAGATCCTGGCTGACGGAAGGGGACGGAAGGGGGCAGTTTTAACAGAAGCTGTTCTGATAAGCCCTGGGCTCCCTCTCTCCTGCCTAACTTAAAAAAAAAAAATCTTTCTGCCTTCCGCATTCCCCAAACCCCCCTCTAAGGACCCCCAACCCACAACCTGTGGGCTGACAACTTCCCTATCCCAAAAGGAATTGTCCCATGTGATTTTTCTCTGCTGATAAACTCTATCCCGCTGGAGTTTTATCTCTGTCCTGGTGCTTTCTCCTGATTGACCCAATTCATCTATCACTATATACATTTCAAACACAGTTTTCACTTGTTCTGTGCTATAAATCCTATAAAACGACATGACTGTCATGAGAATTACTTTGAAGTGTTGTTTCAATTTTTATTTATACCTTTCTACATTTCTGACCCACTTTCTTAAGGTGTTATACGGGTGTCCCCTCATCTTTTGCTTTCTTTTACTTTTTGTATTGGTGAGTCCATCAAATCCATATCTTGCCCTTGTGCTTTTTTTTTTTTTTTTTTTTTTTTTTTTTTTTTGGTGAGACAGGGTCTCCCTGAAGCCCCAGCTGTCCTGGAACTCACTATGTAGACCAAGCTAGCCTTGAACTCACAGCACAGAGATCCGCCTGCCTCTGCCTCTCAAGTGCTGGGATTAAAGGCATGTACCACCACACTCCATGGCTTTTTTAAACACCCCCCCCAACTCTATTTTCTAGATTTGAGGTTGGATTTACCTAGGTCAGAGTATCAAATTCTTTGTAAGTCATCACTTATGCCTGTTTCTATGAATGACTTATCACACAGCACAGTGGCTAAGTATACTAGATCTGGATATGTGGGTTTAAGTTTCAGTTCTAACACCATCTAACACTGGGGATGTTACTCAAAGCTCAAATTTCTTTCTTGCTATGATAATTTTGGTAATAGTACCTACTTCTCAAGATTGTGTACATATTAAGTGATAATATATGCAACATCCCTTGCTCAGTGCCTCATTCATAAAGGATCCATAAGCACTGTCATCATAACACTGTCATCATTGTTCATTCACAATAACCACACCTTTGTATGTATCTTGCATTTTACCTGTCAGAGTCCTTACCAAATGGTATCACAGCTTATCTGTCCTTATCTGCTACAGCACTGGAAGTTCTGTGAAGATGGCTATGCTTTGTATCTTATCATTGATATCTCCCAGTGCCTCTCAGACCCCCAGGTACATCAGTTATAAAATGGATAAACACATGGATTCTGCAGAAGATGCCCAATGCATTTGTGATATCTTGCAACCCTATCTGCTGCATCTTGAAATATATCTCAAGAAAAATCTTCCTTACTTTCTCGGTTCATGTCACCCTCTCTCAGAGCTTTAAAGAACATCCTGTGCCTACCAAAAAAAGTACAAGTGCCTTAACTTGGCAGCAACTTAATTTCCCTGCATTGTTTCTAGTGTAGCTTCAAATGAAACTTCTCAATGGGTATTCTGTTCTCACTGCTGGCCCTCTTCCTTCCACTCCTACTTCTTGCCCTATCACACCTGCACAAACTCTATCCACACTCAGAGATCCAGTTCAAGTCCCACCGTTTTCTGGAAACAGGTCACAGAGATGACTTCCCCTTCTGACTCTCTGTAGCCATCCTAAACCCACTCCTTTAAAGCTTATTATACAGCAATGATAAATCTTTCTTGAATATGAATTTTATTTTTGAAATGTAAGTTAGACTGTTTGGGCATGTATTTATTTATTTCTCATTTCACCTAACATCACACTCCATGAACAAAAGGTATTCCATGGATCGGTTGCCTGATCATACATGATGCCAGATTTGTGTGTATATGAAGGTAGGGGGTGTTTGGGGTTGAATTCAGTTCTTCACACATGCTAAGCATGTGCTCGGCCACTCTACTGAATGCCAACCTCAGTCCTTGGATTTTTATGTAATGCAGTTTCCAGTGTGGTACTGACCTTGATAGCAGCACAGTCTCTGATGTCATAATCCTGCTGAAACTCCTTTTCCATGATAACAGTAGACAGCTGAAAAGACAAGACAGTCTTAAGGATTTAAAACTGATGTTGAAATATTTGCAATTTAGATGTAATATGGGCAGCTTTAATAACTCAAACATGGTCATCTGCCAAAGAAAGAAAACTTTTTCATTGTTCATTAAAAACAAGTCAGGACGGTAAATAATGAGAGGATTTAGGAAATGTCAGAATGTCTTAAGTTTCCAAAGTCAATAGTCTAAGAAGTGGGCGTTAACAGTATGTTAAGTTCACACTGGAGTCAGAAAATTAACAGCTTTCAAAAAAGTTTTGTTGCTGTTTCAGGCGTTGAGCTGATTATTTGATTAATTAATCTCAGGTATGTTCCAATCTGAGCGTAAAAGTCAGGACTCTTGTATTTAGAAAGAATTTAGAATGAATGGGAACAAAGGCAATGTGCTACAAATGTTGAATACTTGGGAAATGTACACTTAGAAACATCACCTGAAACTTCTTTAGATCATGTAAACTATTTTTTTAGGTTTTCTTAGCCACCCCCCCCCCCTTGTGTATGAGTGCTTTGCCTGTGTCTAAGTGCACCATGTGCATGCAATGCTTGTGGAGGCCAGAAGAGGGAGTCGGACCCCTGGAACTGGAATTAGGATAACTGTTAGCTGCCACGTGGGTGCTGGAAACAACCTGCATCGTCTGTGAGAGCAGCCAGTGCTCTTAATCCCTGAGCCAACTGTCCAGCCTCAATTATTTTTCTTAATACAGATACTTCCTTCTTTACATTAGTTTTTTTTAGATGATAAAAATGAAAGCTTTTCCAATATTGACAGAGAGCAAAAAGAAATACAAACAAAAGCTTAGGAAAAAAGACTGTACTTTCCAAAGATTACTACTATATCAGTATATCTGTAATATTAATATTTTTTAATTTTTATTTTTGGACTCTATATACAGAAACCACACATATGGGTCAAAAATAAATAAATAAAAAATGGGGTCCATTCCCAGCCCATTTTCTGGTTCTATGAGATATTAACTTTTTAAGAGTCCATGTCAGTGAGATGATGCAGCATTTATCTTTCTGTACTTAGTTTATTTCAATGACTACTTTCACCTCAGGTTCATCTATGTCATTAAAAATGATAGGATTCCATATTTTCATAGCAGAACAGTATTCCTTTGTGTATATAACCCACAATTCTTGAAGATTTAGGTTGGTTCCATATCTTGGCTATTATAAACAATGTTATAAATAATATACAAGGGCTGTGCATATCATTTTCAATATACTGTATCAGTGATCTGGTTCATAATTTGAGAAAGTATAGTCCTTCCATGGTGGGGAAGGTATGGGTAGGGGTAATGGTTTTTGGCTGAACCAGCCATGAGACAGCTTTTTATATCAGTAAGGAAGGAGAGACAAGACAAGAAGCAAGGGCCAGCCCCCAGAGACCTCCAGTTAGGCCCCAAGGTTCCACAGCCTCCCAAGATAGCTCTAAGAGTTGTAGACCAACTATTCAAATACACGAGTCTGTGGTGGGCTTACAGCCATAACATGACACATACTGATTTCATTTCCCTTTACTGCTATACTCAATAATGGGATTGCTGGGCTATATGGTAATTCTATTTTCAGTGTTTTGAGGAACCTCCATGTTTTATTTTATTGGGGTACTGATTTGTATTTTCATGATGATTAGCGATGCTGAGAATTCTCACATATCTGACTGCCATTTAATGTCTTCTTTTGAGAAATGTCTATTCAGGTACTTTCATCCTTATTTATAATTTGTGTTTATGTGTGGTGTCCATATGTGTACATATGTATGGGTGCACAAACGTACGAACATACACATGGCAGCCAGGGGTCAATGTTTCTCTATCCTCTATCACTGTACACCTTATATTTTGATAGAGTCTCTCACTGATTCTGGAGCTTACCAATTCAGCAAGACTATCTGGCCAGCAGGTTCCAGAGGTCCTCCAGTGTTCACCTCCCCAGTACTAGGATTACAGGTGTACAACACCCCATCTGGCTTTTTATGTAAGTTCTGGGGATCCAAACTCAGATCCTCTTAATTTCATGGTAAGCAATTAACCAATTGAGCCATTTCTCTAGTTCCTCCCTCCCCCCTTTTTGACACAGGGTCTCCCTATAGCCCCAGCTGACCTGGAATTCACAGAGATCCGCCTACTTCTGCCTCTTGAGTGCTAGGACTAAAGATGTGCACCACCACACCCAGCTGCCCATTTTAAAATAGATTTGTTCTCTTGCTACTGACTTTTGAGTTGTTTAACTGTTTTGGATATTAGCTCCTTATTTAATATACAGGTTATGAATATTTGCTACTATTCTGTAGGCTGTCTCTTAATTAAGAAACTAGTTATACTAAACTTCTTGTTTAGTGTAATCCCACTTGTCTACTTTTACTTTTAGGGTCATCTCCAAGAAATTATTATCCAGACCATGTCATGGAGAGTTCCTGCTACCTTTTTTTTTCTAGTAACTTCATAGTCTTGCCTTTACGTCTTTAATGTGTTTGGAGTTCATTTTTTTATATGAGGCGCATATATATGGGGATGCATGTGAGGATGCAGTTCTCCTGGTACCACATACTGAAGGAACTGTCCTTTTTCATTGTGCATTCCTGGCACTTATGTCAGAAATCATTTGGCTGAAAATTTATGAATTTGTTTCTGTGTTTTCTCTGCTTTTCCATTGGTACTACAATGATATTTTGGTCATTGTTGCTTTCTAAGACAAAATGATATAGTTTTGCAGCAGTGTGTGCACAGTATCATTCTTTTTGCTGAAGACTTCTGGGCTATTGAGGGTTGTCTGTAGTTCCATCCAAATTTTAGGTGTGGATGTTTTATTTAACAATCAGTTTACTTGCTGTTGAAACAAACATTCCTCCTATGCTCTCCCCAGCATGAATGTTTTAACTTACTGGTGTACGATCACTCCACTGCCAGGACCCTTGTAAATCTGGGCTTCTTTTATTCAAACCTATCCACAACCAACGTTGTGCACTATGGGAAAAAAAGCATTATTAGAATTTGAGGACAACAGTTGGTAAAAATAATTAGCATTCACCCATTTAAAGTGATTTAGACATGTAAGTTTATTTAGGATATTTAGTATCAACAGAAAAGCATAGCTTCAAGTTATACAAAGAAAGAATTAAACTAAGTCCTTAACTCAGAGTAGCTATAGGAAGGGTACCATATGTTTAAAACTAAATTTTAAGTCATTTTCTTTGTGTGAAAGCAAAAAGATCTATTCTTCTTTAAACTTTGAGAGGAGAAAATATGATTAGGCTGGGAGGACAAAGGACAGTCTTTTTAAGATTCTTACTGTTTCTTTCTAGCCAAAAACACATGCTTATGCTTCTGTTCCAGTGGAAGACGGCTAGGTGCCTCAGGGAAGAATATATACAAGCAGGTGGAGGCAAGAATATACCCATGAGTTGTGCCTTCCCCTCAGAAAACTTACACACTAACCAGAGCTACATATATGACAAGTGATACAACTAAAAAAAAACTTCCTCTGTCTCCAATTCCATTTGAAAATATTCTTTAAAATTTACTATACCTTTCAGGTTTTAATAAGTAGCTTAATTATATTTCTTTAACTTTTTGTTGGCACATGGCTTTAGTGGCATATGGACTATTACATGTGTCTGCATACATTTATATATATACACAAATATAACATAAGTATAATATATATTACAGAAAAGGTGGGACCTAAATGTAAAAATAATTTGTACTGTCAAGCTTAGTAGAATATATGGGAGGTACAGCTATAAATCTAGTGAGAAATATAAGTCCACATATTTTTATACAATGCTTTAGTGATGAAAAGGCCAGTGCAAATCTAACTTCATACTACTTTTTCACTTTTTAATAAAATAACTGCATCTGGGCATAGTGGCCTGCACCTGTAATCCTGGCACTTGGGGTGCTAAAGCAGAAGGATGTCAAGTTTGAAGCCAGCCTGGGTTACTTAGTGACTTCTAGGGCAGCCTGAGCTACAGAGCAAGACCCTGTCACAAAAGAAAAAAAGACAAAATAACAAAACAGCAAAAAGCAGATGCTTGCTTTCCTTTTTTCAACATTCTCCAATAGTTTAATATCAATCAGTATTTTCTCATCTTTTCAACTTTAACTTATTCAACTTACAGAATATGAGAATTCTCTTTTGGTTTTCCTTGTTATAGTGCTTTCTTTCATAGAGAATGATCAGATAAATCTAGTGGAGACAATTAAGCCCAGTTTAAATTCAGCAACTACAAAGAATTTGCAACTGCCCTTCAGCTGAGCACGCTTGCTCTCACAGGCTTGCCACTGCACTTAACAACAGCCTAGACTGTCACCAAACACAGTACCGTTCAAGCCATGTGGCTAAGAGGTTGTTTCCTTTCTCAAATTCTCATGGCAAATACCTTTACTTCTTCCACGCATTATTTACTTAGGGGAACTCCCTAACAGCTGCAAAATGCTCCACCCTTCACTCAACAGTTTATTCACGGGGGTGGTGGTGGTGGTGGTGGGGTGGTTTATGATATCAAAGGTCATCTGTCACTGGATTCAAGGACCCCCTCCCCTCATCTCCCAGCCTTCTCAGAGATCTGCCCCAGCCTTCCTGGGTTCCTGGGGGCTCTCACCAGTCTTCTCTCAGCCAGTGGCTCTCTGTCCTCCCACTGACAAACTTTTCTGCTTGCAAGCGCATTTCTGGTTTCTCTGCTCAATCTCAGAAGACAATTTCTTATAGACAAGAGTTTGCATAATTGTCTAAAATGTCTCTAATCTCCACTACCTTCTGAGACCGAACTTCTTTCAACCCTAACTTTAGTTTTCAGCTTCATTTCAAGGGATTCACTAGTGTGCTATAAACACAGGAAATGGTAGGTGCATGTGATTCTCTCTCTCTCTCTCTCTCTCTCTCTCTCTCTCTCTCTCTCTCCTCTCTCTCTTCTCTCTCTCTTTCTGTGTGTATGTGAGAGAATCTCTTTCTCTCTGGTCGGAGGCAAAAAATAATTCATCAATTATAACTTGTTCTGAGTTCAACCTTCTTAAACTATTTTTAAATTGTTTTCTACTCCACACACTATATAGTTTTAAGGCTATTAGGTTAAGACGACATTGCATAAAAGGTTAGTGTGTTAAAATTCCTATTTTCGATTCAATTTCCTGCTATATTGGTTGCTAAGGAAAACAATGTCTCAGCCACAACCCCCAATAAATACTATTTGATGAGGGCTCTTAGTCCGCAAAGCCTAGATTTATATCTCAAGCCATTCATGCCACTTCATGGGAGGTAGTGCACACAGCAGCAAGGGCACTGCAAACAGGCTTTCTTCTCTAATCCTAGAACTACTTTTGCTTAACAGTGGTTCCCAATGGGATGCCATTAAGAGTTGTCACGATCTTAGAGCCTTAATGAGTTAGTTCACTGTGCCTCCTTTTTCACTGAAATACAAACAAAGATGTGGAACTTAGATTGTGAGACATATAGCAATCATCAGTCTTAATGTCTTGACATGCAATATAGAATTTTGGGTGGGTGGTAGGTTTCTTGCTGAGAATATCAATTCCTGTGATAAAAGCTAAAGCACTCAAGGAGTAAACTTTATAATCTTTTTTTCTAGTATAAATGGCTCTGCTTCCTTCCTTTCCTTTAAAGTACTGTTGCAAGTTTGGTTTTAAAATATGTTCTTGTTCTAAGTACAGCCCAGGCAAACAGTTGTTTTATTAATGGAGCACTTATTAAGCAGACAACAGTCTGTTCAGTATGGCACTATGCTGGTGGACAGAAAGCGTCAACAATTAAAACATGGTTCCTGTGGTGAAGAGATTATGGAGATCTTTTTCTATAGTTTTCTCTTCTGAATTCAATATGTGTTACTTTTGTAGATAGAAAAAAGTTATACATAGTGTATTCTGCAGACAATTTTATGAAAACTATAAAAATGGAAGAAAATGAAAGGATTTAAAAAAATGTTAACTAGAACTGAGATTTGAAATAGTTTTCATTTTCTTCATTACCCTTTTTTATACTTTCCCAGTTTTACATAAGAATTTGTATCAATTTTTAATGATTGTGCTCAACAAGTGATGAAAAAGGAAACAAATCAAGGAAAGTAATTACCTTTCATGTGAGCTTTGTTTAATGAGATACATTTTGTCCATAGATGCTCTTAACAGCTATTTCTGTAACTGGAGCTATGGTGTTTTCCATCCATTGGTTCCCTCACATATCTACAGATTTACTACTTAGCACTTACCCATGGCTTTCTGTTCCCATTAGAAATAATAATGCCTTGCTTGGAATTGGAGTTTGTTCCATCAGTATTTTACTAAAAATACTTTACCCAGACAGTGTGATATTGGTGTGTGTGTAGCTTGAGATCTCATTAGGTTGCCTTGTTCAAAATCCCTGCTTCAGATAGGATTGGCAGTGTATTTAAAAGACCATGCCCCAGAAATAGTTACCACAAGGACCTCTTTGATTCTACAGTACACCAAAGGCTTCGGTAATTAGTCTCTGCTGAATGTCATTAACAGGTTTATCAGTAAAATTAGAAACTTGTCAATCAACGGGATCTCAGATAAAGGTTCTCATTAGTGAAACTGAAATTATTCAAGATATAGTGGTTGTCTAAAATATTTAGGCACCCTCACCTTTTACACAAAGGTATTAGCATATTGTGAGCTCTGTGACCTGTATCTCCAGAAATGTCACCTATGCCCGGGTGCTATGCATCAGGTGATTGTGACAGCCTGATACCAACTATCATGGGATCAAAACTCTGTCCCTGGCTCCCTGTCACATCTGCCTCAAGTGAGCCTACAACACAACTTAAAACATTCAAGACAGATTCCCAGGATGAATATTTCAAGTTTATGAAGCAGGTTGTGTAAAATGTTTTGTGGCTGCTTCAACAAACGTGTCTGTAACAGATGACCTCATGCTAGATTTGGTCTGAATTTTGTATTCACTATAATTCACTCTCAAGCTTATGAGGTAAGAGTCAACATGCCCTTCAAAAAGAAATTAAGAATCAGTATTTTCAAATTGGCTTAGGTTTAATGCAAGATGATTAAGTCTAGAATACTTGAATATTACAATAGATGCTTAATACATGGATACTTTGGAAACACAAGTATTGTATTTTACATCAGGATCCCAGTACAATTATTTTTATTTTTCTCATGTAGCCCAGGCAAGCCTCAAACTCCTTATGGAGCTGCGGATGACATTAAACACCTGATCTTCTTGCCTCCACCTCCCTAGTGCTAGGACTGATTACAGGAGTATGCCAACGTGCCCACCCTTCCAGTTCACTTCAATAAGAAAAAATATTAGTGGCTATGATAAAGCAAATCTGGCCGGGCATGGTAGCGTGTGCCTTTAATCCTACACTTGGGAGGCAGAGGCAGGTGGATCTCTGTGAGTTCAAGGCTAGTCTGGTCTACATAGTGAGTTCCAGGCCAGTTGGGGCTACAGGGAGACCCTGTCTCAAAAATAATAATCAAAAAAAGCAAATCTGTAAAATATGGAAACTTTCTAATGAAATATTTTAAAAACCACTCAAAATATTGATTGCTTGATGTAATAACCATTGATTGTTTCTGTGTATTTTGCACTCTAGTTTTTAATATAATAGCATATTTTTACATTTTAAAATCATCTTTTCTCTCCAGTTAGTATATTATAAACATTCACACACAATAACATTTTCTTTCTTAATATCCATGAGATAAATCCTGAAAAAGATCAACAATAGTGAGAGTAATAAAGAACCTTACCTTTTCTTGATTTATTTATTTTTATTTTATGTGTATGAGTGTTATGCTGCATGTGTATAAGTGCACCCATGTCATGCAATGCCAGTGGAGGACAGAAGAAGGGTGTTGGATCCCCTGGAACTGGAGTTATGGATAGTTGTTGGATGCTGGGATTCGAACCTGGGTCTTCTGCAAGAGCAACCAGTGCTCTTAACCCCTTTTCCTGATTTTAATGGAAATGCATTTAATAGTTTCATCATTAATTATGACATAGATATTGGTTTGAGCTTTTCTATTATTAATGTAATAAGTATTTATATACTAATTAAACATACTAAGTATATATGTTAATCCAGAAAAGAATAATGAAATATGCCAGCTATTATTTCAATATCTGTTATGATCTGATCACATGATATCTGATTTGTGGTCCTTAATGCTTTTGCTTTTTGAGTCAACATAGGACAAACCCATGGATAGCATAGGTAAATATAGTGGGTCAAGATATAATAAGTCAGGGACCATGGCAAACTGAGGAGTGACACCCCATGTTAGTGGGCCTCTGGCCATTCAGTACTTATACCCTATTACATAGACTCTTATTGAAATGCCTAATTTTGCAACACTTTGTGTTCCCTTTTACCCAGGAAGAGAACATTGTATCCTTTGGGCTGAACAAGTACTAACTGGACAGATTTGTTTTATGTTTCTCTTGGCAACATAGTACTGGATTTCATTATTGGACAAGTTTGTAGACTTGGGTTTGATCAACACTGATAATGGATAAATTGGGCCTTTGCCAACTTGTTTCATGTTGGATTCATCTTTTGTGATTTTTATTTATTTATAATTCTCTGCATGAACCTTGCACACCCCACATAGCTCTGATTTATGGACATGTCAAAACTTAAAAATTTATAAAATCTGTGTTTCTAAAATATGATTTCCAGGTAAAATAAAAAATTTTAAATACTTTCATAACTATTTCAAAATTTTACATTCCAGTTTTTATTCATAGAGAATTTAAAATCTGATTTTTATTAAAATATTCTTTTTTAATTAAAAAGTGTGTGTGTGTGTGTGTGTGTGTGTGTGTGTGCATATGTGTGTGTCTGTGTGGGTGCACAAATGCCATGGCATATATGTGGAGGTTAGAGGACAACTTTTGAGACTTGACTCTCTCCTTCTACCTTGCTAGGCAAGGTCTCTCTTGTTTTTGCAGTGCTGCTGAGTACTTCAGACTAGGTGACCCATGAGCTTCTAGTCAATTTTCCTGTTTCCATCACTCATCTCACCATAGGAGTGCTGGGATTACAGATATGTGCCACTGCATCTGGCTTTTTAAGTGGGTTCTGTGGACAGAACTCAGATGGTCAGGCTTGTGTGGCAAATACTTTTACCTGTTGAGACATCTTCCTAGACCCTAAAATATTCCTTTATTATATTTTTCTCTAAGGTGTAGGATAGTTTCATTCTATTTTTACAATGACATATAACTACTTGGGGCTATATATTATATTCTTGTTTCCAATTCTTTTATAAGAAGCTATTAATTTATGTGTTCTTGATTTTTTAAAAATATTTATTTATTATTTTTATTTATTTTTTGGTCTTTTTGAGACAGGGTCTCCCTGTAGGCTCTGCTGGCCTGGAACTCACTATGTAGACCAGGTTGGCCTCAAACACACAGAGATCCACCTGCCTCTGCCTCCTAAGTGCTGGGATTAAAAATGTGCGCTACCACACCAAGCCCTAAAAATATTTATTTTATGAGTATGAATGTTATGCTTGCATGTATGTAAGTGCACCAGTTATGGATGGTTGTTACCTACCATGTGGGTCCTGGGAATCGAACCCAGGTCTTTGCAAGAGCAGCCAGTGTTCTTAGCTACTGAACTTCTCTCGAGGCCCCGTGTTCTTGATTTTTAAAATTCACACATTAGTTAGAATGTCTTTAATAAGTTTTTTCTTTTCTTTGTTTTTTTTTTTTTTTTGAGACAGGATCTCCCTCTAGTTCCAGCCAGCCTGGAATTCACTGTGTAGACCAGGTTGGCCTCAATTTCACAGAGATCTGCCTGCTTCTGTGACACCATGCCTAGCCTCTTTATGATATTTTGCCTGATTATACTACAAACACTTCTTCTGTCCTCTGACCTCCAAGTCCTTGATATCTTTGCTCTGCAATTTTTGGTCACACTTTTCTTAACTCTGCTGTTGGTATTTATTGTACAATAGCACAGACTATGCCTCACTCAGTTTTGACTCTCTCATGGTATTTTGTACCTAAGAGTACCTGATATTGTCTGAGCGTTGAACTTTGAATGCCCTTTTAGATGATAAAATACAGCAACCTGAATATCCAGAAGACATCAGACTTAGCACAAAAGTACTCACTGTAGATGTATTACCTGAACTGGTCTTTTAATAAGTTAACGAAGTTTTTTATTCCACTTATATGACTGAAGCTAGGCAGGTGTGCTCCAAGCGCCTGGCAGAATCTTTCAGCTTCTTCCCAATTCCTCTTTCTCACAATTCTTTCTATATGGAAAATCTTAACAAAAATATAATATTGATAGTTTTTATGAGTAATCATAAACTATTCATAGTTTTATCAGTCAAATGTGTGGGTCGCTGAGATGAATTCTTACAGGTAAAACGAAAGCATAACTAAATGCATACACACACCAAGTCAGGGCCTCCTCAAAGAGAGCTAAAGGCCCACACAAGCACCTCCCATGTCACCAGGTGAAGAGCCTTTGCCAGGCTGGAGAACTGTTCCAACAAGTACTATGATCTGGAGCATTCCTAGGACCTTGAAAGATAAAATGAACCAGTAGTCAAAGCTATAACCGATACATAGGAATGCTCTGGAAGTAGACTTTTGTACAGAAATGTGCCAACAGTATAATTCTGAACATCATTCACGGAGGCCTGCAGGAGCATAGGACTCATTTTAGATTAAGAAGAATCAAAGAATTATCTTACAGAGGTGTGTGAACACTGACAAAAGTGCCAAATCAACACTGGGCACTTTGGGTTGCTTCTTTGATTTGCTGGTGATCAACTCCAGGTCAAATAGTCACTGCTACGTCAAAGACGAGAAAGAACTTGGGGAGCAGATAGAGTTGTTTTGATTACCGGTCCTGACTTTTCACTTTTCTGTAATATCACCTGTTCTAGCCATGGCTCCTGGTGGGTGGAGCACCATTTTCTGTACCTTGACACGGGGTGTGGCCATGCACTATTCTGAGACTGACAAGAGGTTAGTGGGAGTAAAGAGAGCAGAGGCCTGAAAGGTGCCTATGTAGTTGGGCTCACCTTTTTAAAAAATTTTATTTGTTATTTTTATTTTATGTGTGAGTATATTGCATGTATGTGTGTTAAGTGCCCCCGTGTCATGCAATGCCCATGGAGTCAGAAGAGGGTGTTGGATCCCCTGCAACTGGAGTTATGGATAGTTATTAGCTGCCATGTGGGTGCTGGGAATCAAACCCGGGTCCTCTGCAAGAGCAGCCAGTGCTCTTAATTGCTTAGCGATCTCTCCAGCCCCAGGCTTGCCTTGTTAGGCTCCAGTGATTCACCATGAGAAAAACTATTTCCTGATAGATGCTGCCCCTTAGTCTGAACCCTAGAGTGAAGGTTCACAGACACCAAGTTATAACCTATAGCCCAGCACAGCTGCCTGACAACTAAATCAGTCAAATCCTAGTTGAGCCAAAGACCTGTGAATGTGAGACTAAATGTAACTGGCAGGCACAGAGTTTTGGAGTGGTATTGAGTGGTTTATGGGAACTAGCCGAATGATACACACCAAAAATTAATTTTTTAAGATAATAAGAAGTGACTCTTATTATGCAAGAAGGACTTTTAATTCAATAAGAATTAGAGAGTTGTGGAAATCCAACTCATTGTGTCAGCATGGCCTGGAGCAGCTCAGCCAACTTCCCAGAACCCTCGGAGAAGGCCATTCTGGTTCTGGCCCTGGTTTTTGGAGCAGGACATGGCTGGGCTGTCTGACACCAGTCCCCACAGTGCTTTGCTAAGGACCCTGTGTTCCAAATGCCTCTGTTAGGCTTTATGTGCCCATGGGGAGGAGCATAATTTGTATAAGGCAGGAACTAGGTTAGTACAAGGATAAGGGCTGAATGAGAATGCCGCTTTACCTTATAGCAAGAAAGGCTGGAGGGGAAAGTATGCCAGCCTTCGGGACAGGGGTCATCAGGCTTTGGAGCTGCTTCCTCAGGCTCCTGGGGTCCACTTAATGTTTTGCAAATTGAAAGTGCTCTAAAGCTCTTGCAGTTCTTCACCTCCCACTTGCCGAGAGACTTTCCAGTAGACATAGCCACACACCCACCTGGAGATGCTGGGGTCAAATCAGAAAGGTTAGTTAAAAACTCACATACAGGCAGGCAATATACTTATACACATCAAATAAAAATAATAAATAAAATACTTTAAAAAACCCCCAAAACTTCTGATGTTCAAATGTCTCCTAGTCTTTGTTTCTACTCTACTTGAGCTTAGATTGGTCTGGGGGGAGGAAAAGGAAAAACAATGAGGAAAAAGAGGAAGAAAAGGTATTGAGAATAATGATGATGATGAGTGTTACTGAGAAGGGTTTACTCTCAGGTGCTACTCTAAAGGATTATGTTAATCAGTCCTTATGACAAATCTATAAGATGGATTCAATTGTCAGAACTGAGGTAGTTTGTATTATCATAGATCTATTTCTCAAACAAAGACTAAATGATTTGCCCATGCTCATAGTTAATGAGAGGTGCAGTTGGACTTGAGTCCAGGGATTCATCTGGCAGAAGGCCACATGATATTTCCATCATATTACACTGTCTAAAGTGGACAGAGGGCACAGAGTCACACCCATTGCAAAGTAACAAAGACAACTCGCCCCACCAAATGGAGAAGCTGTATGGTGTTGTGTCTTACATTTACATATGGGCCTCACACATACAGGCCTCACAAGGAACCAGGGATGGAGAAAATGGTGCATGCCAACCTGGATGTGTGTGCTGCTTTCTTCCTGTTCTGACTGTCTATTCACAGCTTGCTTGTGATAGACCCTGATGGCTGAAGCTAGGTGCAGTAATGGCAAAGGGATCGAAGCAGAGCAGCATTTGTTCTAATACAGAGTCAGGGCAAGGGTGTGGGAACTGTTTCCTAGACCCTCTCCAACCTTTCTACAAAGAATATAATGTTTAATGTAGCTATGTATTAAAGAGTTGGGTTGTTTTGGGTGTGAGGACTAAACTCAGGGCTTCATGCATACTAGGTAGGCACTAACACTGAGCTAAACCTCCAACTCTACCTTTTTTTTAAGACAAGGTCTCACTATGTACCCCTGGCTGGCCTGGAACTCACTATGAAGGCCAGGCTGACCTGAATTCACAGAGACCTACCTGTCCCTGCCTCCCAAGTGTTGGGATTAAAGGTGTGTGTGCTACATTTGACAACCTTTTGGGGTTTTTTAGACAAGGTCTTGCTATGCGATCCAGGGTTTGAACTTGCGCTCCTTCTGCCTCAGCCCCGAGTACTGGGATTATAGGCAAGTGCCATGAAGTCTGGTTTTAAGAAATCCATGTCTTATCTATTAAAATATTTCTAAGTTAAATGTTATTTAACCAGGATTAGCATCTCTATTCTGTACCTTCTATAAATAAAATGGTAATTTTATTATTAATGTCACTCACTTTGACAGTCATGACTGTTGCAAATGTTGTATTCTCTAGTTCAAATACTGTGTTCAACTGTAAGCTCACATGTTCCAATTTCCACATTACAGAAAAAGATCTTCATGATGGCATTACATCAACACAAGAAAATATAAAACATTTGAAGGGAGAAAAGTAGAATGTTTTATGATGTATATCTTATTCAAAGCAACGTCTAAATAGCACTAACTTAGAAACCAGGAGATCTGGATTTTACCAATTCAGTCACCAGGTATATTTGTCAAATAAATCAATGAAGGCTAGTTTCTCAACTCTAAAATCAGATGAGACTTCTGAGGCCCTTTCTATGTCAACTCTTCTGGATTCTGTGGCAAACTATAATAAATGTTTTAGACTGGTTGGAAAAGAAAACTAATTTTCAAAATAATACTACCTTATCATATGTTGCATTCTTAATTCTGTCCTACTGAGAATAACACAAATACACATTCAGTCTTGGAGAATGAAGTTAAGAAACAGAGAGAGGAGAGAGAGAGAGAGAGAGAGAGAGAGAGAGAGAGAGAGACTATGACTCCAGGACTGGCAGTGACAGAAAAACATTTGGCAATGGGTACCACAGGGATGATGATGACAGAGGAGGTGGAGACCACTATGAAGATCAGTATGGCAGATGAGATGATCACGGAGCTCCAGAGCTCCGGAGATTACAGCTCTAGGACAATTACGGTCATGTGCTAGAGGTCCCCCCTCCCCGCAAAAACCCAAATTGAATCTAAAGCCTCAGAGCACTTCTAAAGGAAATGATTTCTCTGCTAGAAGCTCCCTGTCCAGTTGAGCAGCTTCTGTCTTTGTCAATAGCCTACTAGAGAAAGAGAAGTAGAAATGAAATTATAGAAGGAACAGAAGTTGCAGCGTCAGCTGGATGAGCCCAAACTGGATGGCAGCACCGGGAGAGACACCCACGTTGGCCAAGTAAAGAAACTCAGAAACAAGACTGGGACCTCAGTCATATCTAGCAGAAGTAAGAACAGGATACATGAAGGAGAAAGAGTGAGAAGTCTCTAGAAAATGGAACAATAAAGAAGACTGTCACTCTACAGCCTCTAAACCTCCTAAACCTGATCAGCCTCTGAAGGCAAGCCAGCCCCTCCACCAAAGAGAATGCATGGGTGAAGTGAAGTTCTAACCATCCTGCTGGATCTCAGGACACAGAGCGGCAGTCCCACAAGTGGCAGGAAAGTACCTACAACAACCATCTGAGGAAGAACCAGCAAGGAAAGATGAAAATAAAATGTGAGTAGTGTCCCAAGAGGCCAAACTGGAAACTCCAGTTATGGTCCTGGGTATCAGCGAACAAAGACTACTGGGAGAGTCAGAAAGGAAAGACTAGAAAAGGATCAAGACTCAGATCTGCACCTGACCCAAAGAAACCTGAGAAAGTCTAGCCTCTAAGTCCCACTCAGTCAGCCCTCCTGAAGACTTTTCTTAACTTAAAAAAAAAAAAAAAAGAAATAAAATGAACTTCTTTTGCATGCTGCTACAGCCTTTAACAGTATTGAAATAATGGAGAATCACCATTGCAGAGAGTGGCTACAGATTCTGAATGGGAAAGTTGCCTGTGTGACTAGTGCCTAGAGGCTCCATTCAGCAGAAATGGCAGTGACAGTGAGACTGGGTCAGATCAGCTGGGCTAGAAGAGGTAGAAAGAAGAATGAGGTTTCTACCTCTTAATTCTTAGCCTGTGGTGGCATATATGATTTCCCAAACATTATCTGAATAAATTTCCCATCCTTGGAAAGGTAGATTTCCTTTCTCAAGTTGTTTTTAGTCTCTAGGTGACTGTCAACCCATTTATTCTAATTCTGACTTACTGACTTCAGCTTAGAGGAAATTATTATTAATTTTTTACCCCCACAAGGAGGTAGTTGGGAGTGAGTCTAAAGACCACTAATAAAGAATACTGCTTGGGGACCAAAATAAATGGGAACTCAGTTACGGTCTGAAAGGCTTTGTGAAGAGGTGGATTATTTTATACCAGGCAGTAGGGGAAATGGTATGGCTTTCAACTAATGCGTGAATGGTGGTTTCCTAGAGGAGGAAGTACTTAGAGTTCATGGGAAATTCCAGTCTTATATATCCTGGTTTTGCCCCTTCTAAAAACACTGTCCTTTCTAAAAGTTCAAATATAGCTATATTCTTTTGAATATAGCTCATATTCTTGATACTACTATTAAAATCCCCAAAGCAGAGTTTATAAGTCAAAGTCACATACCTGCTCTCAAAGGCATTTTATCTCAACCATGGGAAGCTGAGGCCTGAGGAATCACTGCTTTTCTCCAGTGAACCATTTCTGCGATGTCCTTGGTTCCTATTCCTTCCCTCTATCTGTGCCTGCTCCTGCTCTTTGACCCCTTTATAGATCAGATTATTTCAACTGATAGACTTAGGTGATGAATAGGGATGCATAAATAGAAACAGGGAGGCCTTTCTATAACTTTGATTGGGTGTTTAAAAAAATTTTTAAAAAATAAATTTCCTTTACTGAATTTCCATGCTAATGTTTGGATTTATATGACCTAGACCATTTGTGGTTTTCTGTTTATGAGGGTTGGTTTCTTGGCTTTCCTTGAGAATAAAGGCTAACAGAAAGAACTGTTTAACATGCTCCTGATTTTTCTTACAGTATAGTAGCTTGAATTGTCTGCTTTGATGTGTACCTTTGTAGGGGTCAGCTCTGAAGGGGGCAAGGTTCCCCAGCTGCCGGCAGTGGGGATACCTGCAGACAAACGACACCTTGGTTTTATTTGCAAGCCTTGCAGGGGCAGTGATTTAGTGTGCCGTAGCAGTGGTCATAGCAGATTGATTATCTAGTGGACTTGATTTGGCTAGGAAGTGGGCTTTGAGAAATATATCCAAGGTTGAATAGGTTTTTTTTTTTGTTGTTGTTGTTGTTTTTTTTTAAAAGAAAACATTGGTTGTAGATGATGAAAAGGTAGTTTGCCCTCTTCTATTTATTTTCTTTTCAAATAGTTGCATTTAAAAAATGCTGTTTTGTCCCACTCCTCCACTTTGCTCATCTGTTAAAATAAAAATAGGGGTTTTGCTTCTGAATACATGTAAAATTTGCATAGGTATCTTCTATGAAAATAATTTGTAATCTGTAGATATTATTACTTGGGAGATGTGTTGAGATGTAAAATCCCATTCTTTGGGTTGTGGGTTTTTTTGTTTGTTTTTCTCCAAATAAATCTGATCTTTTAAAGTTTTTTTTTTTTTTTTTAAAGATGTAAAGCACTTCATAGGAAACGTCTAGATTCTATTTGATACTTACATACAAAAGATGGCAAAACCCAAAAAACCCCACACTGGTAGTGCTAGCTCTGAGTAGTTAGATGCTGTTTTGGAAAACATTGCATGATCCCTAAGGACTTAATGGAGAAGATGGAGGCACTGTTTCTGTTTATGGTTTCATAGACGCCAGTCCTGAAGTTTATTAAGCTCCTCATATCCAAGAGCAGGTGAAGGACGGATCTGGAAGGGATGCTGTGTTTCACCAGTCTCTGATCTACCACTTTACTTTTTAAAAAATTGAACAGTATTTTTTAGAATACAAAACCAATTTTTGCTCATATGACAACCAGCATTCTTTTGTTGGTGTTCCCCTATGCTACCCTCTTTCAAACCTCTTAAAGCTCAAATAACAGAGATTGTGCCCCTTCTTCTCTTATGCCTTCCATGGAGGTAGATGTGGGAAGGGAGCTTCCTCCACAGTGCCCCATCCCATAGAACTCCATGCAGAACTCACTAACGTATGCATGCTGATTGCTTTTGTTCTGACTCTGGATTTCACATTTTTTTTGTGTGTGTATGTGAAACATTCTGGTTGGCAAGGAGTTCTGTGCTTTAACTGAGTCTGTGCCTTCGTATCACTCTTTTTTCTTTCTCCATTCACGTTCTGCCTCCATTCTATAACCACAAGCAATTGGCCTCAGCATAATAATCTTTAATGAGTCAGCATTTAGGATAGTCACTGAATCTCAGCAGGAGAAATAAAATTCCACTCTCCCAAGCTTCCCACTCCACATTCACCTTAAAGCAAACAACCTTTTTGAAAAATCATAAACTGTCGCCACTGTCTACCCTCAACTGTTGGATGCCTCAAACAACAGGTGGGGACATGGAATCACTCTGTGCCCGCTCTCCTTTCCTCCTTTCCTGGTTCTACACCCCCTTCTAGAAGCTTCTTTCTCTTGGGAAATCCTGAATGGACAGGCATAGGACCTGCAGATGAGAGGTAAGAGCAACTGAGGGACTCCAGTGCAATGTGAAAGCATTTGACTGAGACCTGTACCAGCTTGTCAGCTCTGTCCTGAAACATTGCCGTCACTAACAGTACTTTAAAGGCTTAGACACTCACCTGGTTCAAGAAAATTCCAGTTGGAAAAGGTCACAGCCTGCTTTATTCCACCACCAACTGCCCAACTATATTCTCCACGGGAATCTACATCTCTCAGGCCAGTCCAGAAGTATTTCTGAAGAGACTTATCATACTTTTTCATCATATCATTCAGGTATTCTTGCTCAAATCTACAAAAGATGAATCAAGCCAGCAAATGTCTCACAATTATTGGATTAAATGAAATATACACTTTTTTTTTTCTTAAACTATTTAGGTGAACTCAGAAGTTTCCTAGTCCATGCCTACTGATGTCATACCTGTTAGTGATGGTCAGATTGCAGGTTGTTCCAAAAGGGACCTCATCCTTGTAAATCTTGTAACAGGTTTTTCCATGTCTCTTCCAGCCCTAAATTAGAAGAGAAATATTGTTACAGAGTTTAAGACTTAATGATATCCCCTCAGATGACCAAGAGTCTACTATCCTGATAACATCTCACAACTTGTGGAAAGTGAGGACATGAGTGAATTAAAACATTTGATGAGGGCGGGATGTGGTTTTCTGGTCACCTCTACACAACAGAGGTGTGACTTAATTTTCTTTGCCCATTGTGCCTGACTCGCCATAAGAATGTTACAGTTGTTGGTTGAACTATTTTTCAACAGGAATACCATCACTGGAGGAAATAAAGCCATCAACATTGAGGACAGTAATCACTTACATACTTATTCGTGAATAGGTAAATCTTTTTTCTTCTGTAATAATACTTGTATACTATGATTTTCTTCCTTCTTACTTGCTGTCATATAAATTACCAGAAGCTGGTAATTTCCTTTACTTTCCAAGTCTGAATTGCATAAGTTCCAAATACCATCTCTAACCAAGGAGGTATAATTCTGCTTAGGGAACTCAAAGAGGGATTTTACATACCTCATCTGGAGGACACAGCTTATCAGACCCTGTATTATCCATTTTTTCTCCCTTCTTCTTACATATATATCTGAGTTTCTTTTCACAGGACTGGACTTTCCACTGACCTAGCTTTTAAAGAAGAAAGAAAAGTATATTCTTACCAAGGAAATTATTTGGTAAATTTGTAGATTTGAGTCACCATGATTATGGGGGCAGCGAGAAGCTGTTGTTTCAGGATCACCTCCAGGCCACAGTGTGCAGTGTACAAGCATAACAATCAAACCGCCAAAGAACATTTAGTCAAGAAGTTGGAGAGAAAGAAGCACATCCCACAGTGGCCAGGATTCCATTCTTCTTTCCTGTGGCCTGGCCAAAGTTTGTTCACAGGTTGAATACTTTGGGCATACCTGCTAATCTCCATGTCATGTTTAACAAGGATGATGGTGGTTCCAAAAGCTACTTTTTCAAGAATTCTAGAGTTAAAACTTTCTTTCAATTATTCTTCAGCTAGACTTCAAAGTTGTTTCTTTCAAATATACTATATAAAATTAATTTTGCTGAATTGACTATGTTGATTTGTTTTCTTGAAATTAAACTTTAATAAGTTGATTGTGATGAGGGTCAGTTTTGAACTCTGGAATGCTGTTTAGGTATGCTTCAGTTTACTCTTTGCTATAGACCTCACTCCTCTCTGAGAACGACTTAGCTTTCGAAGTAGGCTGTGAAATGTGACACCTTGTAAAACACATCTTCACTATTGAAAAGCACCTAAATATGTACACCATTTGTTGTCTCCATTTAAAGTCTCTCTAGATGTCTGGGTGACAGTCATTCCAATTACCAGTTAGAGACAACTGTCCACAAGAAAGTGATACAAATAAAAATACAGAAGTGATTAAGTCCTTCTGCTCAAGATATGCCCTATTTTAGGCTCTTAACTAAAGTATGCTCAATGAATGTTTAGATTTTTTTTTCCGAACACATTTAACCCAAATTTTTAAACAAAAATTAAAATATTGAAACAAATTAAAAATTTTTATCTAAAGTTGAAATATTAAAAAGCACTTTCACTTAATCCTTAAATTTATGATTAATTCAAAACTTAATGTGAGCATGAAAAGATGGGTTTTTTCAGGTTAAACTGTGGCTACTTGCCAAATATCAATCACCCAGCAAAAAGGCTGATGGACACCCTGACCCAGAAAGAAAGCAGGTTATCAGAGCCAGTCTGGCACAAGAATCTGAGTCTAAAGTGTCTGCAGATCTGTTTCAGCACACAGCAGATGCTCTCAGAAAGGGGACCGCTCATTTAGCAATTGCCTTTGTTTACCTTTCATTCAGTAGCTATCAGAAAGACAACATACAGGACTTTTGCTTTTTCTTTCTCAGCTTGCACAGAAATACCATATCTAACATAATGTTAATATTATTATTAGCTATAATAAAACAACTGTAAATAAACCCCAGGAAGTGTCCTACCTTTCCTAAATAGGAAACACAGTTGGGAGTCTTATTGTAGGGAACATTTGGTTCATTCTCAGCCCAGTATGTTAGAGTGACTTCCGTGCCATCTGACCACTGGAACAAAGTGGGGGTATTTATGTTCTTAAGGCCTGTCCATATTTCTTCTTTGACATCTGAAAGAAAAATGCTTTGTTTGCTTTTGCTCCATTACATTCTTTAATATGCCTGTTACTGATTTTCACATTCTGATAGAGAGTTTCAAGAGCTTTATGGTATTAAGTCTGCCTACTAAAACTGTTGATAAGACAGGCAGGGCAGGTAATGAAGATTTTCAGTGTCACTTGTGAAGATAAAATACATAGGAAGAACAGCCTTCTGAGGGTCTATCAGCTAGACATTCCTCCCATCCACTGTACAAGAGCCCTGCTTTGTGGGTATTAATGGAACTCTATAAATACAAACATAGACAGTCTAATTGGAAATAATTTTTGTTCACGACTGCCCTGGAATGAATCTACTGCTTTCACATGGAAAACAATGAGCACTGTGCTGGCACCGACCCAGCAGGTACCCATTACTACCTGTTATTGTTAAAGAATCTAAGAAGGAGGCATAATGCAAGCAATCGAGTGTGTTTAATAATCACAAAAGTGAAACAATCATCCAAAGTTTCTGAAAGAACTTAAACTTGATTTAGCATAATGATGGAAAGAGGGAGATTCTTTGATCAGTGCTTGTATTGTCAAAATGGTGGCCACATGCATAAATGGCTATTTAAATTATAATGCAAAGAAATGAAAATTCAATAAAAGTAATAATTTAGCCCCCCCCCCCCTTTCCCTAACTACATTCCAAAAGTTCAAAAGCCGTGTGTGGTCAGAAGCTACTGTACTGGATAGTGTAGGTGATAGAAGAGTACTGTCACTACAGAACTCTAAGACAGTAGAGATTCACAAGAAGAGACTTTAAGCTTGTCATTCTCACCAAGAGTCTGAAATAGGGATACTTTGAAATGTTTTAAACTTCTAAAACATGCTGTTTAAAAACAACTCACCCTCACTATGGAGTTTTGTGACAACCACCTCAACATCTGCTAAGGAATGAATGCTGATGAGGTCACCACCAAAGGCTTTGCATTTCAAATATGCCTCATCCCAGGAAGCACTTTCATTTAGCAGCAGAGAGCAAAATCCATTATTTGGCAGCCAGTCCGCATCACAGCGGGTGTCTGAATACGTCCAAACATCTGGGGGGAAAGCAGCAATTTATATTCCAGTAAAGACAGACCTATTTTGAATCAACATCACTGCAAAATTTTCTTTCTTGAATTACAAGGCTTCAGGAAAATTGGGAGATGTGATGTCTGATACTAGAGTGACATGAATTTATGCTGTGCCCAATGTATACCTAGCATCAGAAAAATCCCTTCAGAGATTCAGATAGGATGTATCCTTACTGTAATACACATAAGTTAGCGACTGGACAAGGTTACTGAAGGGGCGCAGACAACCGTCAGGGAAGGGAATGACTTTAGTCCTAATAGACAGAAGACTGGTGTGGGGTAAGCCAGATGCTGACAATTCTTTTCCTGGGACTCGGATTTAGAAGGTTTCCCTCCTGTTTCTGCCACTGAGATTAGTATGAAGTCAAATCTTCTTTTCTTGTGTGATCAGTTTAACAAGGGGATGTGTATTAATGCTTACTGTTAAATAAAGGACAGGTAGAGATTTAAGGAACAGATACATGGAAGAGCTGGCAGCAAGGAGGGAAGGGCAAAGGGCATCATTAGACTGCCTTCATTCCCTGAGAGACTAGTGAGTCTTAGTTTGACTACAATGACACTCATAAGGGAAGGTCTGATCTTTCAGATTAGGAGCAGGGGTCTACTCTCCTTCACCAAACTGGAAAGTAGTTTGCTAGTTTGGCTACTCTGATTTAAATGATTCAGCCATACACAGTCACCTTAAAAATGTGGACAGTTTTTTTTTTTTTAAACTAAAAGATAAAACTCAGGTTCAGTTAATCTCTTGCAAGATAACTCAATTAAGGCTGTAAATAGCATTGTTACTTTTAGATATTTCAATTATGGCAAAGGAAGAGAGTAATCACATGCAATTGAACTTAGAACAATCATTTCCATGTTCTAGTCTTTGTGTTCTGTGAATACATATTTTTAAAAATTAAAACAATAAGTAAGCATATCATTTTGTTCTTTGTATTTTCCTGCTGGCACAGTTAGAATAGATGCATATTATTCAATCTTGTAGAAACATCATGATCTACTTAATAATTGCTATTCTGAGATATTTACTTAATCCCTCATCAGTTCTTGTTCATTTTCACTTGTGTCAACTTATGTATTGTGCTTTTGGTTGCATGGATTACAACTTGGTTTGTATTAACTTGGAAGATAAATGTCATTTCTCTCTGTTATCTTAGAATGTTTCCTTACATTATTTATTCTATTTATTTTAATTTTTTTGCCATGCTCCTTTTTGGATAAAAAAAATTGGGGGCTAGGAAGTTGACTCTGTGGGTAAAAGCAGTTGCTCTGCAAGTATGGGGACCTGAGTTCTAATTCCCAGCACCCACATAAGAAGCTGGGCCTGGCTGTCAGCCTGGAACCCCAGCATTGGGGGGTAGAGACGGTAGAGCCAAGAGCTGGCTGGCCAGATCTGGCTAAAAGTAGAGTTTCTGGTTCAGTGAGAAGTCTGGTAATAAGGCAGACAGAAATAGAGGAAGACAACCAATGTTGCTTAGGGCACATGCATGCATCTCTATACTCACATGGATGCAACACACACACACACACACACACACACACACACACATACACACTCGCACATGTACAAATCTGGTTGCCTTTTCCCTTTCTTCATAATTCCTTAAAGCAGGGCATTTAAAATCACGTTCTCTCCTCGCAAATTTGATTCTTAGTGTTTCCCATTCAGTGACGATTGACAGTCCTGGCACTTTTCCATTCTTGCAAATATTCCCCAAATCTCTGCTCCTCAAATACTTCAGCTACTCTGGCATATTTTTCACTTCTAAACTCCCTAGAAAACTCTGTTCCTAGTACATAGTTGGTCCTGTACATCTCATCTTTTACCTGACATTTTTTTAGTACAATGTCCTAAAGGACCAGCCTGTAACAGAAGAGCAGAAGGCAGCTGGGTGCTATGGGGCGAGGGGAGGAAAACCTGAGAACACGCCTGCATTCAGAGCTTTTAACTTGCTAAAGGTGCAATACGTTAGATCTGTTCTTACAGAATTAGTGCTCAGACTTGAGCATGCATCAAGCCTACCAAGATGGCTTCTTAAAACACAGACTCCAGGGTCCTACCCCTCTCGTTTCTGACTCAGTAGATCTGAGGTGGTTCCTGAAAATCTGCGCTTCTTTTTAATTTGTTTCTTTGTTTATTTGTATGTGTATGTTCATATGTGTGAGTTCAGGCATGCATATGCCAACAGCACACATATGGAGGTCAGAGGACAACCTTGGGTCTTTTTTACCTTCTACACTGTTTAAGTCTTGGTTTCTTGTAGTTTACCACTGTGTACACCAAGCTAGATGGCCTGTGGGCTTCTGGGGATCTTGTGTCTTGGCCTCCCATCTCACTATAGGAACTCTGGGATTAAAGACATATGCTATCACATCCAGTCTTGGGTATGTTCTGGGGATTTGAACTTAGGTCGTCACGCTTGGAGTAGCAAATGCTTTACCTACTGAATACTCCCCAGCCTAGGAAGTTGCATTTTTAATGGGCAGAGGTGATATTGATGCATGTGGTCTGAGTACCATGCTTTGACAACCACTGCATTAGAGGAAAAAGGATCCACTAGTGATCAGAATGTTTCTGTCATTTTATAGACCTATACATATTTTTACTTGATATTCTCCATTGCCTCAACCAAAGATTTATTGACATTTTGTTGACAGTGTCTAACAAAAAAGTCAGGGGTAGAGGGATGGCTCAGTTGGTAAAGTGAGGACCTGGGTTTGATTCCCAGATCCCATGTAAAAATGTCATGTGGTGCATGCCTGTAATCCCAGTGTTGGAGGGCAAAGACAGGAGGATCCCTGGGTTTACTGTCCAGCTAGTCTAGCCTAACTGGTAAACTTCAGGTCTATAGAGATCCATTTCGAAGGAGGTTGATGACATTCCTGAGGATGACAGCTGAGGTTGTCCTCTGTCTACACACACACACACACACACACGCACACACACACACACACACATACAAATAAGGGTAAAAAAATGGCAGGAAGTGAAGAAAAGGTGGACATACATAATCTGGAATGCATTTATTTGACTTCATAAAAAATTGAGGAAGTTACCTGTGAATTCCACTGTATTGTTTAATGGTTTCTTGCAGACATAGGGAAGCTGAGCTTCACAGGAAACGCTCTGCCACAGTCCTGACTCGGCATCCATCCTTGCACAGCTTGATCCACCTATTATAGGTGCACTAGGCATATCTTAGAAAGAAGAATTTTCAAAGTGGAAGAAGAAATAGATTAAGGCCAGAGAGCTGGTTAAAAAATAATTCATATTCATAATTTTCTCTATGGGAACTCACAATGTAGTTAAAAGTGTCAAGTAAATTGAAATGTTATAAGCCTCAGTGGGTACCAATGTGCTTAAATGGGTCTCTTCTAAAACACAAGATAGAGGGAGAAACATTCTGATCCCTCATAGCTAATTCAAAATGGAAAAAACAAACAAGCCTCTGTTCTCAAGATGTTTCTGTGACATATACCCTGTAGCCAGAAGCTCTTAAACTACTCCTTTATAATAAATATTTATAACATGATGAAAATATTAATTTGTATTTCTGCCTTTAAGGCCTTCAATTAAGGATTAATTTAAGGACTAGAAATGTGCTCAGTGGTAGAGCACTTGCCTAGCATGGTCTAGTTATTGACAAAGTAGAGTATTAATTAGCTTATTAATAAAAACATTTAGTTAGTGAAAATGACACTGTCATTTTATAGTATTTAATAAGTTTTCCTAAATTTCTGCAGAATACTTTTATACTGAAATTAATGTTAATATCTAGGTTTGATCTTTGTCAAATTTTATTTTTCAAAAAGGTCCTTATTCTTTCCTTTGTGGAAATTTTGACTAAGTAGGATCTCTTCATTGAAATATTTAATTATATAATAAAATACAGCTATTGTGTTGCCAGTACTAGGGTGTGATAGTGGGGAGACCCCCCAATAATTCAAAGAGGAATAAATATTTCTGTATTAAGGTAAGCTGTAGATTAAATATGACACAGATAGTCAAGACTCAATGGGATCTGGGCTGGAGGGATGGCTCAGTGGTTAAGATTACTGACTGTTCTTGCAGAGGACACAGGTTCAGTTCCTAGCACCCACATGGTGGTTAACAGCCATCTGTAACTCCAGCTCCAGGGGATCCAACACCCTCTTCTGATCTTCATGGGCATTGCACGACATGGGTGCACTTACATACATGTAGGCAAAACACTCATACACATAAAAGAAAAGTAATAAAAATATTTTTAAAAAGACTCTATGGGATGTAGAGTGATTACTGGTCATGTGGTTCATTCTGGTCTTACTTAAAAATGCAGGGGAAGTCTAAAGGCCAGGTACTCTAAAGGGGTACTCTAAAATGTGCTCAGTTGCCCATGGTATGACACAGTTTGACTTATATAGTACCATAGTTAAGAATGGCTTAGGAAAAGAATTCTGAGAAGTAACCATAAGATTGACAGTACTTAAAATTTTGTAAGCTCTGAACAAATGGGAAGTTCCTGGTTTTTGAAGCTTTTGCTTTGTGCAGTGTGGTTGGGGAGGGGCATTTACCTGGATCCCAGTTGAGAAATTTTAGTGGCTTGTGGTCTGACCATTCCCAGCCTCTAGCAGAGTAGAGCTGATTTAATCCAATCCAAACAATTTTAGCAATGTCTTCTTTTCCTGTAAGAATCATATAACTTTTAAAAGTGACAAAATTATCTAAATCAGACTAGGTTTCTACTGATAACCAAAAAACAGAAGGTCCTGACTATAAGTAGGAATCTCAGTATCAGTTGTCTAGGCAATGTCAATAGCAAAACTCATTGTTTTGAGAAAACCAAAGTCTGATAAATTCATTCAATTCTGCCTTCCAAACAGCTTGCCCAACTCTCTTTCTTTTTAAATAAAGAAGAATTTCTAAGAGTGGCTGTTTCACTTTGTATTTTCAATCCTCTGGTACTGATTTAGAACACTTGTCAAAAGCAGTTTCTAGATTTTGAAGATCTGATTATATTCCAAACTGACAGGTTAGATCTCTAAACACAAATTATTTTCTGGGTCTTAGGGAGCTAAAAAACTAAATTATAAAGTACTGCCCTCATGAAAAGTTTAATCCAGTAGAAGGGAATAAACTATGGACCCTTCAAATGGCAAAACATTTCTGGAACTGGGTTTGAAATATGTATAGGAACTGTTTCATATAGCTCTAGAATTCAAAGAGTGTTTAGGCTGGACACACACACACACACACACACACACACACACACACAGAGTACAGTAGAGATGTATTATCCAATTTTATTATTTTTCAACCAAAACCATCACCAAAAGAACAAAGGAAGACAGGGACACATACATAATTTCAATAGTGAAACTGGTTGCCAATATGCTACAAAACATGGATGCAATCACATTTGTATCTGTCCATACATACTGGAGAAAAAATGGAAAGAATGTGAGAATATAAGGATTTTCACCACTGTCTAGGAGGACACGAACCTGGCAAGACTTTATCAACACCATGAGGGGAGAATTTAAAAAATTAATCGGTCACGAAAACCAGAGGGAACCATATTATTCCTACAATCTACTGACAAATTATACATAACAGATCAAGAAAAATATCTCTAGATAAGGTTTATTTGAGACCAACTGGTCATTACCCAAGATTTATCTGCAAGACACACAGTAATTAAAAATGCCAGAATGGTGGAACTAACCATCTTGGGTGTTTAACAGACATCCTTTGAGGTCTATAATAATTTGTCAGAGGGTCATAAAGGACACTTTTTTCTCCTTCCCCTCCTAGGTCGACTAGTGCC